AATGGATCTTCCACATCGATGTTGATATTAGGAAGCGTTTCTGAATAAATTATGCTGGAATCATACGTGTCAAAATATGATCTTTCTCAGAGGCTCCTCTACGTCACATGTGACTTTATAAACGCGGAGGAAGCATGAACCGAAACGTTCTGTGCATGGTTTATTCATTATAACTGGAAGGAAATGCTTAAACTTGTATTGTCTTGTTGAGGGGATTATGAAGGCGTTAGCAAAACGGAATTGCCCATTTTTCGTATGGGGACACCTCAATATGGATTTCATTCTACAAATCTCCCGATTTTTTTTCTCTGTTTAATACTAACGAACATCGCATTGCCCTCAACAAAGGATACAATATGTGGTGCGATTGATGTATTTTTCTTGGCATCAAACTCAGCCCAGTTTACACGGTTTCCACCGAGAATCACTCAAGCTTGTCTCACATATCCTCTGACATGGAGACAATGACTGAACATCACCCATACGTTCTAGTTGTCATGTGAGGATATCACCGCAGTTTAAAATCATTGTACTGTTCTACCGTAATATCTTTTTTTGTGTCCTGAAAATCTTCACTTCTAGCTTTGTCATACGTTTCGAACAGTATCAAAATTATCACATACTGTTGGAAGATGCTTATGGAATTTTGTAACTATTATGGTTAATAGAGAAGCAAAAATCTCAAGAAGAGTAACCTGGTGCACAGGTCTATGTAACGAAAATCATTTATGTGATAGATCGCGTAAAATATCATGAATCGAACAAACCGTCAATTTTCGGTTGACAGATGCTTATTTTGTTCTAGAAGTAAGTTTCTGAAACATCAACAGTTTTGACTGCCCCCTATGCTGAAACATAAACGCTTGATAATATGCTTCTTGACTTTGATGATGAGTGCGTAAGTTGTTTTTAGAAGCTTGGCCACTGAAACCAAGCTATGACACAATAGTGGTGAAGGTACTTCTGAAGGGAGGTAAAACCATGGGTACAAGTATTTTGTATCCATCTACTATTGCCCTAGCTTGAAGAGAAGAGGCAGCCAGCTACCAAGATTCGAGGTAGCCATTTACAGATGGACATGAAAGAAACCTTTTCATAAAGGGTAGGGTAGACACTCATCGCGAACAGGAGTGACGCTGTCACATCTTGCACAGACAGCAGATTTCATTCCCTCTTATAAAGGGGACTTATATCCCACTTTACTCACCCTTTTCAATGAAAAACATGAAGTTTTGTAAATTATTAGACATCATTTGATGTAGTTTGAGATTCATCTTAATCTAATCTTTGTTTGTTTTTACTTAGACTATATATCATGGCAACAACATGTCACATCACTATCGGACTCTGCATGTTTAGATCTTCAGTGGTGATGATAGATTGATGTTTGGGAGAAATTAAATGACAATAGTAAAGCCGTTGGTCAACTCAAGATATGTCACGTTTTATGATCACAACAACATGCTTGAAGTTTTGTCATTCTACTTGAAAAGTGCACTATAAGCAAATGTTTAATGAGTATCTTTTGGTGACTGGGCTTCAAAGTACAATGTTACTTTCACTAAGAGAATGGATTAAGCTTATCATAGCAAAAACGTCTTTCAAGAAATGCATTCGAAAAGGTCTTTTTATGTTCTACACAACGCGGCATCATTTTGGGCTGCAGTAACCATGAGTGCAAACTCTATGAGTGAGGAGATTGACATGATATATATGTTCAAGTGACAAGGATCTAATCTGAGTTACACTGTTAGATTCGAGAGGTTTTGCTGTCATATGAGCAATATGTCATCGCCTTCACTACAATCGAAGCTTGAGAGTTTGTCTGGAAAATTTCACCCTACAGCTTAGCACTATGGATTATTTACTAAATCTTACAAACTAAACGTGATTCTTCGTTAAAATTATTTCACCTTACAACTTAGCAGTATGGTCTAGTATTTTAAATATTACAAATAAACGTGATTCCATTTTCAATGTAAATCGGTGGCTTGTACAATATTTTAAAATATGTCTAATCTGACTTAAAGGCCATTGGCCATTGGGAAACAACCAAGAGCGTGATGTGAGCATCTGGAGGCGTTGAGACTGCACTTACGGTAACGAGGGCCTTTCTTGCATGCAGCCTTGGGTATGGAATCTTGTAAGATCCCATCCCCCATAAACACGTCTAAGTCCTTGAGGGCAATTCTTAGACCAATAGAATGCAACTGGCCAGAGCACTACTGTCAATATGTGATTACCGTAGAAGACAGCGAATGTAGTGGAAACCAGCCTGCAGCCAAATGAGTAGCCAAAGTAGACAAATGGTCTCCAGTTGCTTTCCCTGTATGTTACAAGTCTAAATTCAGTGTACAGAGAAATTTTATCTGAATTGTTCTGCGCAGATTAAAAAAAAAAACAGCAAGATTCCTTCATAGGGTAAAATAAATTAAAATTCAGTTCATGGTTGTAGCCATTTTCCAATGTGAAGTTCTTCGTCCTGCAAATCCATTACGAAGGCATGAGAAATGATGAGCACAGTTGGCCGTAGCAGCAACGGCATGTCCAAGACAAGGGATCGTATAGTTCAAATTCTTCTTTTTATATTTAGAAATGCGCCAGTTTCCTAAAATACATGAAGAACCAACGGATCGATTCAAATCTATTGAACGGATCTCAACTGCAACTCCAACGGAGGATTTACCTTTTTAGCAAGACTGCAGGACGAAGGATAGGACCGGTGAGTGAGACACAGTTGACCGACTCCAGGTCCGGGGCACCGTAAATCATAAATACAGTGGTGCTTGCACCACAGTAGCGACCGTTGAGGTAAATCCTGGCCTCATGGAAATCTGATTCTATGATTCTCTGGCAAAACTGAGGGAGGGAGGAGAATTGTTGAGTCGGGCACCATCAGCATCATCGACTCCCCACATATTATCCGCAACCGCTGTATGGAGCTTGATTAGGGAGGCCCACTTTAGTAGATGGACCATTACAGAAAAGGGCATGGAGATCAAAGACGCGCAGCTAATGCGAGTGCTCCGACTGAGCCTAGTATAGAGTGAGCATGCCCACGTAAGGCGAGAGTACGACGACAAGTACGTGGATATATCCCTCCGGAGATATCCATGACCATCGGTGGGCAAGAAAACTTAATGCACAACGTCGATACAGATAATGTTGACCACTTATATCCACTTCTGCAGCGCCCAAACCTTGCTCCAGGAGCCGGGCCGAGCCAGAGTAAAGATATCCGTACCGGTCAAAGCGAAGATATATACCCCACAGGCATACAGGGACGAGGGCTGGACTCGGTGGGGTCGGTTTAAGGGCAGGAGTGAAGGGAGAGAATCAGAGTGGAGAAGGATGATATCTTGTAAGATTCGAAGGACGCAAGAGTTGTCAGAGCCCGGGAGGAAACTGGGCAAATATGGGGCCGGTCAGGAAAAGGAGCTGCGAGACGAGGGGACTATAGTCGGTGAGATTGTGTACTGAGTGTGACACATGGTGGGCGAGGCAAATCACAAATAGTGTGGATAATGGAGGTTTCCAAATAGCGAACAGGAGGTCGAATGGCACAGTATTCGCTGGAGGGCGACGGTTCCAGACGGCGCCCGTTGACCCGAGGGCGTGACAAAGCTACGCATTAGGCTGCGAGCCGCGACTGGGAGGCGGACACGTGGAGAATCCGGCATGCGTGGGGTGAGGACGAACCCTAAACCGCGTGGGCTCCTCCGGCCCGAGGAGGTACCGTCTGCCTCGCCCGTCCGTCCAGATTACCATCCGTTCCCATCCGTCCGTCCGGGTGTTGCGAACCCCGTAGCAGGCATGCACGCGGGGCCGCGGCCTTGCTCGCTCGCTCGCTCGCTCGCGCGCGCTCTGGGCTGCATGCGAGGGCCTCGCTGCCTGCTCCCTTCAGCCCTGGAGCCCGTCGCTGTTGTCGTTCGAGGAGGGGCGAGCGGCAGACAATAGAAATAGGGCGCGAGATCGCAGCGGATAGAAAGGACGAGGGCAGGCGGACCAAGCGAGAATCGAGCTGGGGGCTTTAGCGGAGCAGAGCTGGGGCTTGCATTGCGGGGTCTCTCTCGCTCCCTCCTTCCAGTCGGTCACTCACTCACTCACTCACTCCGGAGCTCACTTCGGTCCGTTGCACCGCGCTCTACACTCCAACGACGGCTGTACGCGGGCGGACCAGAGCTACTGTAAGGACGAGGAGGCATGGGGGCCTTGACAGGGGGATCGAGGAGTGGCAGCGGTGGTAGAGAGCTGCTGCAGCAGGAGGTCGCTTGAGGGAAGACGGGCGGGGCGATCGCAGGGTGCCACATTATTATTAGCCGCCGAGGAGAGAGCTGAGGGAGGGCACTGTTGGCGGGTGCGTCGACCTCCTCGCCCCGATTCGACCCCACTTTTGGACAGAGAGAGGAGAGAGGTCGGGAAGAGCGACGGAGCGAGAGGGAGGGAGGGAGGGAGGGAGGGAGTCGAGTGGAGCGAGCGGCACAGTGGGTGGGCTTGTCGTTCTTGATGCTGGCACACGCAGGGGCGGGGCAGGGCGAGGCCAGGCCAGGCCCGTCCAGTCGAGGCGAGGGAAGGCAAGCGGGAAGGCGAGGCAAGGGGTGAGGTGTGCGCGAGTTTCTGATTGATCCACAACGCATGGTGAGGAGGGAGGCAGGACGGGAAGGGCGAGGCCGGTCGCTGCTGCAGCCCCAGCACAAGACGCCAGGCACAGGCCGAGGGAGCGGGAGGCCGCGGGGCCCCGAGGCCTGAGCAGCAGCACAGCAGCAGCACAAGGAGCAGCAGCAGCAGCAGCAGCAGAAGAAGAAGAAGGCCTGCAGCTGTAGGAGTAGTGGTAGTTGTAGTAGGGTAGTAAGTAAGTTGTAGACTGCTGCTGCTGCTTCTGCTTCTTCTTAGCAGTGCGCCTTGCAGCAGTAGGAGAAAAGTCATATCAGTGAGGAGGAGCAGGCCGGAGGGGAGGAGGAGGTGGTGGAGGCCGGAAGGAGGTGAAGAAGAAGAAGAAGAAGAAGAAGAAGTCGAGAGAGAGGCGAGGCGAGGGGAGGAGGAGAGGAGTGGGGAGCAGAGAGAGAGGCGAGCGAGAGTGGAGGGCCGGGCCGAGGGGCGGGAGGGCGAGCGCAGAGAGGCGAGGGAGGAGGACAGGAAAGGCGAGGCGGGGCAGGGCGGGTCAGGGCAGGGCAGGGGCAAGGAAGAGAGCAAGGGGATTGCGTTACATAAATTAAAGGTATATAGCCAGAAATTGGCCGAGCGGGGATTAAGTATCGGGGTGATCGAGGGCTCTTAGGGATTGAGGTGGAGGTCGTAAACTGGATCCTGGCTTATTTACCTCGGATCTTCGTGGCTCTTTGTCGGTAGACGGCCGGAGAAGGCGAAAGGCAGGCGAGAGGGCGCAGCGAAGGGAAATATTAGCGGATCTTGCTTTTGTGGTGCTGAGAGGGGAGGTTTCATGACGGGGATTGAAGGCGTGTAGGCTTTCCTTTCTACATGGTTGCATTGCAATCGTTTCCTGCGAGAAGGAGAGAGGACTAGACAGGCAGATTCGAGTCGAGGAGGAGGAGGAGGAGCTTGTGTGGACTTTTGTAACGTACGGGAGGTGAAAGTGTAGTTTTCATGTACTCTGAATCGATACTAGGCCATAGGCGTGCCCGTACGCCTGTACAGGATCGAGAGAGGAGGCCCTACTAGCGTTCGATATACAGAAGAATTTCATCAGCATATCCCTAACGAAGTTGATTGCGGAAAGAGTGACTTGCCCGAAACTGCTGCCAGTTCCAGCGCTCAGCACACAGGTCGGCCTCGGTTGCGTTGGTCGCGACTGGCGGGCTCTGGCATCGAGGGAATAGAATTGTAGTGTACCGAAAATCAATGAGGTTTGCCTCAGCAGCGTCAAGCGGGTTGCTTTTTTTTCAAAGGTACATGATGTAAAAAGCTATTATCGATGGTGAGGAAGAAGAATCAGCGCCGATGTAGATAGACAAAATCAGCATGGTGAGGAAGAGATTGCGGGACGAGGAGGGAGGGGAATATGAGGCTTATTCTGGAGGTATGAGATGAGGGATGCTTGAGTGGGTCATGAAGATGGTGATGGCGTGCTGGCGGCCCGTTGAGCGCTATGCACATATGGGAACGCAGGTGGCGGATCGCCAGGATTCGCTTCTTTGGTACAGAGATTTGTGTACGCATGCCGCAGGCGAGTTCTCGATCGCCGTGGTTCAAGCCAATGCACTTCTAGAGGATCAAAGCCAAGTAGAGACCGGCCCCTATGGCACTTTTGTGGGAATTTACGACGGCCATGGGGGCCCAGAGGCTTCTTGCTACATCAACGACCATTTATTCCCTAATGTGAAAAGTAAGTTTTATGCCGTACAAACCTTTTCTCTGCCCACCATGCTTTCCCCTCGACTCGTGATCGATGTGTGCTCGGCCGCCTGGCCTGTGCCCATCCCCCGCCCCCTCATGTGCCAGTTCGCAGGCCGAATGTCATCTGTCATTCGGCGTGTCATTTAGCAGCCCGACCTTTCCACTATTTGTGTGGCCTTGTGCGAACACGGTGGCGATTTCGGATGGTCTTAGTGTCTTTGAAATCGCTCGAATGTGACCTTTCTTGGCATATGCGTGACTCCTGGTTTTGAGTTGTACTCTCTGGCATTTGAGCTAGTCAGAGGCCGATGCGATTTGAATTCACATCGTTCACGTCGATGAGGAGTCACACGGCATGGATCACCCATGCCTCGAAGGCGGACCTCTACATGCTCGGACGAAGAAAGTGGAATTCAAAATGAAGGAACGAGTGTTGGCGCTTGTTTTGTCACCTCAGTATGAGACCAGGTCGGGGTCATTCCGAGAATGCCGCGTCGTTTAGGTTCCCGAAACGAATTCATTTCCTCACGAATTGCCTTGTACTCCGTGTTCGTTGGTGACTTCATGGCTTATGTTGTCTGGACGTCTGCTCTACTCAAGCTCCAGTTCGGTACCCGGTCCAGGTATCTCGTGTCGGAAACCGGGGCACAAGAAATTTAGTTTCATGTTTTCCGTCGAGTAGGTGTTTTTGAAGTCCGATCCGACAGTCTTTTTGAAGCGATAATAAACGTATCCAACTGTCGAGGGACGATTAGTTGTGCTGTTGAGCAAGGCCTCTTGCTTTCCGGTTTCGTCAGTGGATTGTCACAGGGTCAAGCATCAGACATTGGTCCAGCGCATTATAATTGTCTTCACGAGTTGAACCCCCGTCCGGAAGAACCAATTGGACCGAGTAACTTGCTCGCTTCTGCACAACAAGTAATCTGCTTGATCGAAGGTGTTTGACCAGGAGACCTGGGATCTGTCTCCGGATGTGTGTTGTTTTGGCAACTAATTTTTTGTTTCGGTTGTGTAGGATTAGCTCTGGAGCACGGGGGCATGTCAGATTACGTATTAAGGCAAGCCTTCCTAGCTACAGAAGACGGATTTTTGGGGCTCGTGCAGCGAAAGTGGCAAACAAGTCCACAGATAGCTGCAGTAGGGTCTTGCTGTCTTGTTGGAGCTATCAGCGGGCAAACACTGTACGTTGCCAGCCTCGGGGATTCTCGGGCTGTGCTTGGCAGCTATGGGAGGAACAATGGCGCAATACAGGCCCAACAAATTTCTATTGAGCACAATGCTAGTATCGAATCTATCAGGAATGAGTTGATTGCGAATCATCCTGATGATTCACACATTGTTATGCTCAAGCATGGAGTGTGGCGGGTGAAGGGCATCATCCAGGTACTTCCCATATTTAAAGATGCTTTCCCCATTTGTGGAGCCCTTGTTTTATACACCCACCTTTTTGTCCAGGAAGGATTTACGGTGGAAAGTTGCCTCTGTTTGTTGCTCGCTCGCCATACTTCATGCAAGCGATTAGTATGCCCGACATGCTTCAATTGTAAGTGGTCGAAGAGCTTAATGATGGAGATTTTTTGCTCAAGCGCCAGTCCATGTCTTAGAGCCAGACTAATGTTTTAGTGTATTGGAAATTATTATTTTTGGTGCAGGTTTCACGTTCCATTGGGGATGTGTATCTTAAAAAGCCGGAGTACAATAAAGAACCACTGTTCCAGCGATTCCGGCTACCTGAGCCTCTGAAGAAACCCGTGTTAACTGCCGAGCCGACAGTCACCTCTCGGGTGCTTCGAGCACAGGATCAGTTTATAATTTTTGCCTCTGATGGCCTCTGGGAGCATCTGAGCAATCAAGAGGCTGTTGAACTCGTGCACGCTCACCCACGCTCGGTCAGTTTCTCTTGCCTTCTTTGAAGAATAAGGTACCTGGCAAATGTATCATCCATTTAGTTCAAGTCTGACTCGTTCGTTCTGCCTTCTGGTCGGAAACCATTCGAATGTGCTCAATACTATCAATGCCCAACTGAAGTCCTATCATGTGAACCACTGCGACCTGTACTTGCTTAAGGTAGGTGTGCTCAGCCCTAGCAAAGGTCAAGTGATAGATGCAACATTCGGCGTGTGAAGTCCTCGACAGCTGATTCGTCGAATGCTGCTTATCAACATGTTTTTACCTGGTCTGTATCTTTCGATCGTCTGCTTACCTTTCGGTGCTTGGCTTTCCGCAGGGGATTGCAAGGAGGTTAATCAAACATGCTCTGCAGGTAGCTGCCAAGAAGCGTGAGATGCGCTACTCTGACCTGAAAAGGATCGAGAAAGGAATCCGACGTCATTTTCATGATGACATCACGGTGGTGGTTGTGTTTCTTGATCACGAGCTTTTGAGCAGGGAATCAAATACTCCTCCAGTGTCCATTAAAGCTGGGGTAGATTCTGTGAATGGGGCCAATACCCCACGTGACCTATTTTCCACTGGTGGTGGTGTGACAACAGATGACGCCCCAAGAAGTTGATGTAAGGGACAGTGTAAAACCAGATTTACTGACTTTGCCTTATTTGTTTCAGAGTTCGTGATAATTATCCTGACATTCTTTACTTGCGATATAACATGTTCTTGAGAGACCTTTGACCGGCAATTTTCTTAGTGGGATCGGATCTGATGAATGTCTGTTGCTGTCGGAAGCCCCAGCAGTACAGTCTCTGCTCCGTCAAGAGTAGATGGTAGGTGGGCTTGAGAATTCTGATGCTTGTATGTGGGATATTGTATTTCACTGTCTTTTGTAATTTAGGGCGATTAAAGTCTTAATCGTAGATGATTAGTCGGTGGCAAAAGTGTCTGAATGTTGGCTGTCTGCCAAGAGATATGGTCTCAGGCTGTGGTTTGTGTACCAGGGCAAACCTCAATCTCCATTACTAAGTCAGGATCCTGCTACCAGTGTGCTGGTGGAGGGATTGGACCTGTGTTGAACTTTTATAACTGTAACCATTCGCACCCCAGAAAAGACTGGGCTTTCTTGAATAAACAAGGTATGAAGGTAGCTTGCTAGGTGTCTTGCACATTCATCCTGCTGTTATCATGTAGGCTAGTTGGAGTGGATGATTCAATCCTCAACCAACCGGCACAGGTTTCTCAATGGATATCCGATTTGGCTTCTGAGTATTCGCTGTTGCGGTGACTGTGGGTACAGTATCGTAATTTGATATTTCCTTGATCTCACTCGGAATCCTCTTCTCCATCCATTTTCTGCGCAACTCATCTTTCAAAACCTGTCTCCGACGACTGCACTGCAGTTGTCTTTCAGGCCAGGAGGATGTCGAGAGTGGTCTAAGTTACCATCACTGTGAAGATTATTTGAGAGCCCGCAGGAACGTTGTTATGCGGTTGATTACCAACTATGGGACTGGTGCTACGATGGCAATAGTTTTTTTAAGCCGCATAGAAAGGACATAGTACGTGCCTGTCTGATAAAGCTCATCTACGCGCAGTGTGGTTCATTTACTCAAAGAATTTTGTCCCCCCGGGTACCGATCAAGTCAATGGGATATGATCTCGGAGTACTGCAGCGCACTTTTTATCCCTGTTTCGTGATCATTGTTTCATTTTTGGAGACTCCATTATATATTTGATCTGATGGATCTTGGATTTTTGCATGTTCTCACTCTGCGTCGGGAAGCACAACTTGACACTTGGCTTGCCCACTATTGAAAGCTTATTCTTCTCTTTGAGTCCTGACACACTTCGTTGGCATGTGATCAAAATTTGGATGGTTTGGAGAGTTGCTTGTCTTGGCTACGATCAGCCTGGGTTGCAGCTGTTTGACACTAGTGATTCTCATTAATAGTGATTACCGAGATTCACAACTTTTGACTGATTTGCGGATGAAATAAATTCTATTCTTATGATTCTGCCCAAACTTTGATATGTTTTTACGCTTGGGAGTTTTTCTGCGAATCGTTGTACACGTTAAACATCCTGCCATTCTTTTCTTACTTGATACTATAGATCGTAGTTGATCCTATAATGTCGCTGTATAGTAATTTTAGTGGATAATGCTTCAGGTGAAGAGTGTGATCGCCTGGAGTTCTTTCCCCAAATCATTTTCCACACCTGAAAGGGACGAAGCTTTTTAAAAGTTATCTAAGTCTTGTGAAAAGCTTTTTTAAGTCCGTGTTACTCTCTAAACCTCGTGAACGATTGCTAGATACGTGGACTCAGATGCACTCGTATCTGAGTCCACTGGGGTACATAGTTAAATGCTCGACGTGTGGTCATATTTCACCCCCAATGGTGAACAACGCCAAACGTGGAAAAGGCCAATGTGAAGCAAAAAACCGACCCCCGAGCAAAAAATTTCTGCAAGGGTTGTGAAGTGGCACAACAGAATCCCACATACCATGCCTCAGAGATACAATCAAAGTCTGGAACGCATTCTCGAGTGTGTTATGTAGCGACACACTTCTAAGTGCCTCCAGCAACTTCGTAACCTTCCATTTGCTCTCCACACTTGCACCTACATCTCCTCTCACCGCATCTGACCTGGTTGCCTTATCTCCAGTGTTCCCCCTATGTACATTTCTACCTTGTGACTACAGTCACCAAGTACAAGTGTATTTCTCGAGGGCAAAAGCCACCACGATATTTAGAAACAAAGGTCCATTTCGAAAAGATGGATGTCTAATTGGGCCCACACACATTCTAGTTCACACAAGACGTGCTAATTAGAGCTGGTAATACGACTTGCAGAACAGGTTTCTAGAAGATCCTGTACATATCTTGAATTAACACACCTGCCTTACGTATACTTCCTCTTTTCTGTACTATGTTGCATCTTTTTCTAGAACCCAGTTAATTTAATCACTGACCCAGATCTTTGTACACTTCCTTCATCAGCTACCAGGTGCACCTGATCTACCGTTGAAGGATGAACTCTCTTTTTCTACTTTGGAAGTCGATGGTTGCCAACCTTAGTCCAAGACTCAAGAACGACGTAAAATGTCATGGGGTATATCTGTTCCGACTGACAGTGACCATCGATTTCGGCTGCAAGATTGACATGCTAGATAAAGAACCAGCCACGAGTCTTCGGAGTCACCACCTCAATTGAATCCCCATGGACTGGCGAATTGTGTTCTTTGAACGCACAACTGAGTGCATGTACGTCTCGAGGGACACCCTTCGACTGATCTTGCCTACGGCTGTTGTGTACTGGATTCCGTGCCATCGTTGCCGCGACTTGAATAAGCACTAATGATTCAAAACTAACCGAGGAAAACGTCAGGCCTCAAGATGTGATGCAGCACGATCAGTTGGATGTATTGAAGGTCCAGATGACTGACGGTCTCTCATGTTAACGAGGACAGAGACAGACAGACAACGCAATATAGGGAACCATGTATATTCTCTGTCGGGCCAGTGCTATGGGACCCTCTGTAGCTAGAGTTGCAAGAGCTCATTGCACCACAGCCCGCCGAGGTGACGGATCAATAGCACCTACCGGCCCTTCTTGCCAATAATACTTTACAGTGTGCTGTGTACTCGCTACTGCGGTGGACTCGCCTTATAACCAGAGTCTCAGAGTCGTCGGATCACAGGCTTAAGAGTGCAACGCTATCATGGCAATTTCCTCCCTGGGCACATGGGAGGGTTCGATGGTTCACGTCAGATGTACACAATGGTTTTAATTCTCATACTGCTCAATCTGAACTCCCTGATTCTAGCATGAGCTTTAGGGGTTCGTGGACTTCGTGCGTGGAATTGGCATTGCAGTGTGGTAGATTGATTCGACAAGCATATCCATATCGACTTTCGCTGCAGATGCAAGGCTGCTTGTCCGAGTGAAGACTGGAGTAGATTGAAAGAGATTTCTGTCGTATATCTGCTCAGACCTTTCTGACTCTGGTGATGATAAGGCTGAATGGCAACGTCCGCTTCAGATCTGAAGTCCGCTTACGTGAGGGGCGATTGTGCATCGGTCTCGGGTTGAGCTGGGGATCAGCTGAAGACAAATTTCCCACAGCTCGGAGAAGTGAGTTGAGCAGGGCAAGATCGAATGTCCGAACAACAAGACTTCTCGGTAAGGTTACCAACTTCAGTAAAGCTCAAGTTTCTCAATTCATCCACCTTTTTAATAACTCAACCAGACTGCGACGATACCCAGGAGCTCTCAGCATTGGGAATCAGACGTATCCCTTATCGACAAATCATCATGTCTGAGGTACAATCGGGGAAGCCACCACCGGGGCCTTGTCGATGGCTCGCGACAACGCTTCTGCTCGGCCTGTAGCTTTCAGCCATACGTTTATTCATCCTGAGTCCGCAGCAGCAGTGCAGATTGACGTCGACAGGGATGGTGTGAGGTGGTTGCAGCAATGATTCACGGTGATTGGAATAGTGTGCTGGGCACGATAGATCCACCACAGCTCACTCGCTCGCAGAGTGAAAGATATTCTCGACGATTTGACAGCCTAAAACCCGGTAATGAAAACGAAAAGTTTCATCGCAGGCTTCTTGAGAACCGGGCAACATGATCCAACTCCTGACGAGCAGAAGATAGCTGAGGATCTCGCTCGGAAAGCAGAATCCATCGAACATCAATTTCAGCAGAAGCCTCGCAGTCACACGAAGGCGAAACTGGATAATTCGGGCCGAGATTTGACAGCCTTCCGGTGAAAGCGAAGGAAGGGAAAAGAAAAAGTCATCTGTCAGATGGACATGCAGATCTCACGAGAGTTTACTGCGTCCGATGCACAATCGAGAGTCATCAGACCACATTAGCCCCGGTCGGCATGTTGCATAATCTATATGATCAGGGAGGGGCCGGCATCAATCTAGCCAAGCCTTGTCCCTCCCTGTTCTCAGATGAGGCCGACGGGTGCCTTCCTACCAGCTTCCCTCGCGTCCTCAGACTCTAGCATCCAGCTAAGAAACAAGTCCGGGAATTCGGCAGTGCATCTGCTCGTCAATCGGGGTGAGTTGTGTATGTATGGGAGCTTAGGAACCATAATCCTCCCCCAGAGAATGAGCTCACGGTCCAATATTAACGTGAGAGTAAGTGGATCGGTGATTGGCGAAGAGTGTGTTCAACTTTTCCAGGGTTGTTGGACGAACTTTTGATCCAACATTGGCAGAACGACGAGGTCACTGACTGGTGTGTTCAAATTTAATAAACTGCGTACACAATATATGCCTTAAAAGCAGGAAACAGTCAGGCCGCAGGACCAGTCTGTTCTGACGTACAATTTCCATGACCGAGGTGGACAGGAGGACATTCAACAGTCTTACACAAGGGGGCCGGGCCCATGACACCTTTCAGATATTTCTTTAATGATTCCTACATGTAAGGAGCGATGACAGCCTTTATGGAAACTCCCCCTTGAACCTCGCTCATCCCTCTCTCTCTCTCTCTCTCTCTCTCCAAATTGCATCTTGGGTGGAGTTCCTCGAATCATGTGGAATTCTGTGGAACATTCGTTCATATTAATGCGGGCGTTCTTCGCTCGGTGCCAGCTCTTGACAGAAAAAGCTTTTCGGGTGGGGCGCTTCTTTCGGTCATGGGCATGGGCAGTGGGGTCGCTCGCTCGCTCGCTCCGTCGTCGTCTTCGTCGTGGTTGCTTTCCAGCAGAACCCGGCTCTCGCCGAGAAGGTTTACGAAAGCCACCAATTCACTTTGTCATGCCTCATGTCATCTCCTTCGTACTCCATCCAAGCCTTCTCACTGCCACTCTTGCTCCCTAAAGTAATTTCCACCTCCAGGTTTACGTCTCAGTTTAGGGATCGGAGTGGGTTTGGGTTTGGAGTAGCCGCACATTCACCATTCCCCATCGACCAAGTGTCGCTGGACAGATCTTCTCGACCGAGGCATGGGTCGACGCCACACCCTGTCGTCCTCCTCCTTTTTTCCCATCCTCGAGTCCCACTCTCGTGTCGCTTACCTTCCTTCCATCCCTCCCTCCCTTGGGTTGCATTCTATTCCATTCCATTCCATTCCGTCCCATCCCAATCCTCACCTTCCCTGCATATGTCGATGAGACCTGCATCAATCATTCACTCACATTCTCTGCACACACACGTTCACCCAATTCTCCAGCCGCCCCTTTCTCCCGCAGTCAGTGCACTCTCGTGTTCCTTGTTTGATCTCGCTCTTCCTCGTTTTCCGATATTGAAACCCCAATTTTTATATATTTCCCACTCATGTCTGACCTGCATGCTCTCTGCCTTTCTCAACCCAACCCTTCCCCACCCAGCCAGACCTGCTTCGCTTGTCTGCAGACTAAATCCTGCTTGCTGCAGGCAGTTGTGGGCTGATGCTCATGCTGCTCTTGTTGTGTGTACTCTGGATGAAAAGTTCAGACAGAGAGAGGCAGAGGCAGAGGCAGAGCATACCAGGGAGAAGCAAATCAGCCCCTCGTCCTCCTCCCTGCTTTCCTGAGTACATAAAGTCGAGGAGGGTAAATTTATCGTCCACATTGGACAGGACAAGTTTGATTTTGTTTGATTTGCCGCCGCTGTCGCTCCTCCTGCTGCTGACGGTGGTGATGGAGGTCTCAGACTCTGTAACCAACGGAAAAGGCGTGGATTATCTCGTCCTTGTTTTATTAGTGCTTCGATTCTCGGAGCTTTGGCTCTGGTTTGGTAGCCCCTTTGCGCACGTTGCTTCATGAGGCGCCGAGGGGGGTTGGCATGGGGCTTGGGCCTACGGGTACGTCGTGCAGCCGGACGGACGGACGGGCGATTAGTTTAGGCCCTCTCGGGCGTGCAGTCCTTGCGTTCGTCTTTCTGACGAGGATCATCGGCAGACGGGTAGGGCAGGGCAGGGCGGGGCAGTCCAGCCCCAGCCCCAGGCCCCAGGGGGGGCAGCAGTCAGATCTTCGAGATTCTGGTGACTCAAATGTACTCAGGCACCACGTTCTGTTTGTTAGGGAATAACGGCTGTTGCTCGCTCGCCACCCTCCCTCGGGCGCAGGGTTTTCATGTGTACGATGCGACCGGGCTCTTCGACCTCTTCTCGATTTCGCAGCATCCTCATCTTCGTGCATCCTTCCTCTCGTCGACGTTCCTTGCCAGCATTTATTCCATTTAATTCTCAATTCTTAATTCTTAATTTAATTTCTTTGACTGGGTCTTGCAAGCCTTCCTTCCAAATTTCCCTTCGCAAGGGTGAATTTAAAGCCCGCCTATGTACGTCCCTTCGCCGTCATCTGGTTTTGTAATGCCTCATCACGATTACTTCGTCAAGTCCAATATTTGTAATTCCTTGTGTTGAAAGCCTGAGGCACAGCCTGTTCTTCCTCGAGTGGTGAAGCGCATTTATCTTCGAAGTGAACAGGTTTCTTGGATATTTTAGTGTCAAAGGGACAGATGCATGGTCATATGAAGAAAGCCTAGTTTTAATCAATAGGGAAGAAAAGAATTTGAAGACATCAAGTAAAAGTATTCCACTGCATAGCTTCACTACGGTTGTGTATCTCTAATTGGCCTCCATAATACATGGAAATATCATAATTCATTGATGGACAGTAATTTTTCACATCATTATATTTTCTCAACAGCTAGACTTAAGTCAAACTTCTTACTTCTACAACTCAAATTTTTTTTTATGAAAAACAATGGATTAAGTTATAATAGGTCTACGATACTTGAGACAGTTTTACATAATATATATATATATATACTAGTGATCATATGCAATATTTTTATTTTCCTTACGTAAATAATCTAATAGGAAATTTCATTTCAACTCCTAAAAACTTTGATAAGATTTACTGTATCTAAAATATCAAAATTTTCTCGCGTAAATATAATTTTAAAAAAAATATATATACTTAAAAGTATTAACTTCATATGTTTTCAATTTTTAATGAAATATCTAGTTACTAAATTATAAACTGGAATTGAAATAGTAATTTACATTATGATACCTATATTAACTGTTCCAAAAATTCGTGATCCGGTTTTTCAAACTCAATATTTTCTTTATGGATTTTAAAAAATTGGAGTACTATCTATTTCACCATGAAATCATACACCAGGCAAAAAATCTTTAAATGATCTTTTAAATGGATTTAAAAGTATTTATTGCTCTCATCATTGATGGGATCCCAACGGTCACCCCGAAAGTTTCTTCGAGAAATTTGTTCCATAATATTCTTGAAGATTTCGAGAAAAGAAAGGCTTGCTCAGTTCTATACATATATTTCTCCAGATCTACTCATATACGGTTTCATGGACGAGTCGGATTGAGAAGAAAAGAAACTATGATTTTGTAATTGTCACCAAAAAGGGAAAAAATCGTTAAAAGTCTAAAACATAAACTATGGAAATGCTCAAATTACTCAATAAAAGTCCAAGAACCGCTCATACATTAGAGTGATAACGCGGAAGATGTCGACCGCTATCAAGACACTCGCAATGCCACGAGGACATACAAAAGGTTGGGGTTTCTAGATCCATCTATATTTAAAAGGGAGAGTACCATCGAAAAACCGCATTGACGTATGGTACTGGAAGCGCCTTATTTTATTAAACCCCGAGCACTTCGAGGATATTGACTCACCATGCAGAGGGTTCGGTTCGTGCTGGCTTTTGGTCTCCTGGTGTCCTGCGCTGCGGCCATCATTCATTCACCTCGCGACGTACTCTACTCTCCAGGCTCCAACTATTGCTTGATGATGTCGTACCTCGTCCGCTCTTAATTTAATTTAATTTAATCAAAGCCCGTTGCCGCTGGCTGATTCTTTTTTCTTCTCGGGGTCGGAATTTATTTTATTCTCGCGTCGACGAGAGGATGCTCATTTCGCTTGCATTCCGGGGGGATGAGATCTTCGCTCGTCGGGCTGCTGCAATTTGAGTTCGAAGATTGGACTTTCTTGAGATTGGCTGCTTTCACTTTTCCAGTTGCACTGCAACCAAATTATTGGTGTACTTTTCAGTTCTTTACATCTTCCAGCAAATCGTACCATATTTTTATGATTGATTTTATGTCCCTATTTTGTAAGTCAAATAGGCTTTCGTTGCAGAGAATTCTTTTCCTCTAACGCCCTGCTGACTCTCGGACATAGTTCGAGACGGCTCTCCGAGCCGGGGGGGGGGGGGGGGGGGGGGGGGGGGGGGGCGTATGTTGTTGAGCTGATGCGATTGTCCATCATCTCGCGCGATTCTCAATGAATGCACATCTCGCTCCATGATAGAGGACCGAGCTCGTCAAGGGGCTTGAGTTTCTTCAACGCAAGGCGCGAGCGAGGCGGTCAAAGCGAGCGGCGAAGGCGAAGCTTGCGAAACAGGTAAGCCCCGAGCGAGTGCATGGCTCGACGAGGGCTTGGGCTTGGGCTTGCGGCTCGATGCGGCCAATGGCCGACGCCGAGATGTGGGCATGGAGCGAGCCACCTCACCGCCCAGCACAGCCCCCTTTCGGGCCTCTTCGTCGAGTGTGAACACAGCTGTCCCCATTGTGCCAGATTCGGACAGATTCGCTCGTCCGTACGAGCCATGGATGCCATTTCTTTACGAAATCGTAAGGACGAAGCAAGACAACGAACGGAACGAAGGAAGCGAAGGATGTGTAACGCGTGAGGAGGACGGACCGACGACGACGGAGACGGACGGTGGGACATCACCGTAGCCACTCCAGTTACCGCAACCGGTTTACGTTGTCGGTAGACCACGCCGCGATCGCGGATCCAACAGTAGACGACGACGTGGTACGAAGCCCCCCCCTACGAGTGTGTACTACGTACTTCTGTACGGTTCTGAGTCCAAGCCCCAGCCCCAGTCCCAGTCCGAACAGTGTCGGAAGCGGAAGTGGTTGCAGTGAGTGAGTGAGTGAGAGGTGACGTGGCAGCGCCAACGGCACCGAGGGGCTCTGGCAGCTTACGATCCGGAGATGCTAGCTACACTAAACCGCAGCCCGACCAACCCTGTAACATATTTGCCATTCAGCCACCTTCTATCCAGGTTCTCGTCCCTGACACCCCTGACGCCCCTGTTCCCTGAGTCCCCTCGCTACTACAGTCCAAAGCTCCCCCTCCCCCTCTGCCACTGTTAGTGCATGTCAAGTGCATCCCCGCCCATCCCCTCGAACTGTCCTTGCTCCCCCTTGTGACGAGGATGCAAGCTCTTCTTCGTGTCCAGCGTCACCGTCCAGCATCTTAAAGCTGGAGAGAGAGAGAGAAACGGGGTATGCACGGATGTGCTTGTAGACGTTGTGGAGCGTTTTTGCCTGGATATGTTACGTGAGGCCTAACGTATTTCCCATCGTGAGAATATTGTGGCCTCGCCCCTTGGATATCATGTGCTCGGTTTTATGCATTTAGGGCGTCACCGGATTTCATTTTTATTTCGTTTCTCTTCTGTTTAGTTTGACCCTTTCCAAGTATGAGGTTTTGCAAAGATATAATATTGATGTGCTTCTAGCATTGGATAATTTTTTCCGACATGTCCACGGAGGAGCGCACAAGAACTTGCGATAAAATGTGACACATATATCATTTTATTATATCATACAGCATACGTTACATATGCTCTACATGGGTCTGGCTAGTGTTATCCGTTCTGAAGATCTGACCGTAATAAATAAATTCTCGATCTGGATAGCTTAGGATACTTAGTAGTTATACATTGACATATTTCTTATGACGATGCCTGGTGGTTATGCTCAGATATGCCTTTAGGTTTCATCGCAGGGAGGCTCGAAAGCAGAATTCCATCCTTTTGGGTGTTAGACTCATGCCCTCAGGGATCGTCATACACGTCCAATCTCCAGCGTCGAGCTCTCTCGGCAGAAAGGGGCCGGAATTCGGTTGAAATCATGAGGCGTTGTAACGCCTAGTGGAGAGTGAGTTGGGGGCCAGGACATGAGCCCATCCAGCAGCCAGTGAGAGGATCTGCAGAGCCAACCAGTAGTCTTGGACGGGTCGCAAGTTTTCCAGGCGAGAATGTGAGGAAACGGTAAAGTAATGGATTCTGGCCCTGCATTCGATCCAATCTCCGTGTACGATCAATGCTCAGCATCCCACCATCGTAAGCAGCAGCAGCAGGACCAGCAGAGATCTAACTAACCATCATGATCTGCAGACTCGACTATGGTTACGGTGGGCGATTTGGACAGAGAATCTCGGGGCTGCGGTCAATGCAAGATGACAAGCGATTTTTCTCATCCGAAGCAGAAGAAGAAGAAGCAGATGAGAACGGAGGGCAACATTATTACCATTCTCAAAATGATTGTCTGGCCGAGACAATGGATCTGATTCAGCAGAGGCCATAACTTTGGTCCACATGCCCTGGGGCGGGCGGCCGGGCGGGCGGGCGCTTCTGGGAAAACGCATCGCTGTCCTTTAGCCCCAGAATTGCCCCCCGCGAGTGATTCCCTGCTCAGTGTGTGGACCTGGCCGTGAACCGAACGTGACCCGAACGACTTTTCCTTCTTTTTTATCTTTTCTGGTTTTTCAGTTTTGTTGTTGGGCTGGATTCGCACGCCCGGGGCTAACGTGTGAAAACCAGAGTGGCTACGTGGAGAGGTTGGGCTTGGGCTTCCCAAGCCCCGCTGAAAGCCGCTCGCTTTGTGCTCGGAGCGAGCCAATCCGTCAACGAATTCCGCCCGCTGCTGCCTCGTCGCCTTTTCTCTTCGCCCCTCGCCTTCTGCAAGCCACGCCTCTTACACGAAAACCGTCCGTCCAAACCGCATTTGCCAAGCGTACGAGAACGATTCGCACTTCCGACGGCCGGATGGCCGGACGGACAGACGGACGCATTCATCACAATCAAGTGGTTCGAGCTCGCAGGCCACTAATGGCTCCATGCGCGTCCCGTTGGGTCCAGCTGACCCGATTCGACACGCCAGCACCAGAAGCCCAATGTGCGCCATTACTCCGACATACGAAACCTCTAACGGAACTCGCTTTGCGGAGAACATGGGATTCGAGCACCGATCAATTTCCATCATGCAATGACACACGAGTGGGGGTTCCACCACCTCACCTCGTCGCTCCTCGCAGCAATTCTTTCGGTTTTCTAGCACTTGCCATTCATTAACACGGGTCGCCTTCTCGGCGTTGGTTGATGTGAGATCTTACGTACTTCACTTTGCGGTGTTCGAAATTCATCTCGAGAAATTGATCGAGCGATGGACCCTGGTGATAAATATGAACATGTCTCGCGTTCTGCAATCTATCATCGGAGTTTCGGAAGTTAATATGCGAGAATTTTCTCCAGTGATTAAAGCCTAAATTAGTATTCATTGAACGATCAGTGGACGCGAACTTTGACTGATTCACACCAATTTTCTTCATTCCTCATATTCAACTGTTCATAGGCTTTGATTAATTAAATCAAACATGAATCAACTGAATAACTTTCAAACGAAGACCCGAAGGTATATTTATGTAATATATTTCGATACCAGAAGGAAGATACTTATTCTTGGTTTTAGAATATTTATCAATACCCTACATATTTTCTGAGAAATTCTTGCTGATATTGTGTCTATGAACAAGCAGTTGTACAACATGCAGTGTACATAAACAAATGATTCAAATATAATAGTTTATATATACATATTTAATTTTAATTAAATATATGGTACAAGTGTCTGGGGTATGATTATATGATTATTTTCTAGTTTTTGGGCCAAAGGTTAAATTTAAAAGGCTTTGAAAGAATCAAATGCTGTGATTCCGTGTCGCTTGATTATCGAAAATCGGGGCAAACTTGTCTTCCCTGGCCAGCATTTCAGCAGCCACAGGTAAGCCTGGCCAATCCCGTAGATTGGCCAGGACTCCGCCACAGGAGACTTCGCAGCCCAATGCGTGCATCGGAAAAGATTGAGTGAAATGAATTGAATCGAATTTAATCTACTCATGTTTTGAAAATATTGTAGACCTTATAATGATCGAATTACGTTTTTAAAAAATATATATATATTAAAATAATTCACATGATTGTTAAAAACATGTCATTACACCAAATTATACATTGAATATCCATTCAATGGTTACAGTTACAGAGTCAACACTGAATCGACCAAGATCATCCTGGATCCATCTTTTTTTTTCATGTATATTTTGTAGTGATGGTTCTGAAGGATTAACTCATGTGTGTTCATCATCTATATTATATTAAAAGAAAAAAGGATGCCCAGTTCCAAGATAAGCATTAATTTAATTCTGAAATGTTATCAATAATCAGATGATGAAAATTTCCTTTGATTCAAATTCATTTAGCTGAAAAATGTTTCCTCATTCAAAATAGCTGGGAGTTGTTTTTTAATCCAGCATTTCACCATGGTATAAAAACTAGATTCCCTCCCTCATAGAATTGAATCATGATCTAGTTGTATTATAAGATAGATTGTGATAGATTTCGCTGATATTTGACAGTCTTCTTTAATTCATGATGATTTTCAAGAAAAATTTGATCACTTGAGGCTGTTGAAATCTGTACACGTACTTCCTCCAATAGTGATCTAATCTATGCAGCTGATGTTCTCAGTGATTTCAAGGAAAGTGAGAATCCAAAATTGCTTCATTTTTTGGAGTAGAAAAAATCTTTTCAACATCCATGATTGAATGATTGATGATTGAATTCTTGAAATTAACACGCAGATGAAACACACTTCCTCGGGGAAAGACTCAAGTACCTTGCAAAATTCTCACCTTCAACAATTGATGAGAAACATAATTATAAAAAATCTGGACCGGAAGTAATGATAAATTGACCATTTTATTGGACGAGCAAATAAGCAAAAAACTTACAAGAGGCGACCATTTTGAAACATGAATTAAATGAAGATGCAAGCATTTCCGATGCTACTAAGCGAAAATTATTCCAGTAATCTCACAATGGTAGATTCAATTCTCCCAAACAATTGTTTCGATAAATAACACTTTCTTTAATGGCAAGCCGACCACCAAGAAAATCGCGAATATTCGCCTCATTGCAAAAGGGAACCACAGATTTGAGTCGTTTGAGTTGAATGGGCTTGCTTGCGGTCCTCTTCACCATCGTCCAGCTCAGCTGCCCCCAACGGGCAGATGATTGCTGCTGCGTCCAGAAGATGTGGCATTTGACCGAAGTTCCGGGATCTGACTTAGTCCCTCATGAGGCCCAGGCCCAGGCCCAACCCCAACCCCAACTCATGTCTCCCCCTGCCAAGAAAATGCGCAAGTTTTCCACACCCGGCCAAGACCCTCTTTGTCCGTAGGTATCTACAGTCGCCTTCTCCACTGTGGCCTCAGCTTGGGGGCGAATGTCAACTCTTGACAAGACTCGATCGCATCCGCCCTCGATCGCTTCGTGCTTTCATCCCCTGCGCTCGATTTCCATGGCTTTGCCGAAGCCAATTTGAAGAGAAGTGGAAGGAGCTGCCCCTCCCGCAGTCCCCACGAGACTTCCCTTTCGAGCTCGTTCGTCCCGTTGGGCCAATGCTGCCAGGGAGGAAAGTCCAGCTCAACCGATTGCGTGGGGGCAACAACAAGCACATCTGGGGCCTGGGCCATCCGTGGTTGCGAGAGTTTAGGCCTCACGATTGTACCCCATTTGAGGACACAGAGAGAAAGAGCGACAGATTGCCGCCGTCTATGGCTTCGTGCACTGTGGATGTTCGGTCTTGCTCATGTTTTCATTCATCTAATGCAAGGCCAAGAGAAGAGACGAGGTTCGATCTGCGCAATCTAGCACCGTCGGCATTTATTCGATGAGTAGAGACATCCACGGACTCACTCACCGCCTGCCTGCCTACAACATCAGAAGCCCGGGCGCTTGTTTGGCTCGGCGCCGAACAGTGCACATCGAATGGGCAGGACGAGGGAGTGTCTGGGGGAGGGAGGGATTCCCAGTGCAGTACGCAAGTATCTCCTCGCCCCGGTCAAAAGCTGCATCTCGCGCATCTGGCGCGCGCGAGAGAGAGGAAGTTCCGCTGATCTATCAGCGCAGCTAAAATGCCACCACGTCATGCGCCCCCCACCTCGCGCACGCTCTCTCGCGGTTCGGCGCTCGGCAGGATGGACCATGACACGCACAAGCCCCAAAAGACGGCCTTAGCCCAAGCCCGCTACCAGCCCCCACCGGAGCCCCTCTCCGCCCGCTTCCCGATCTACGCAAGGCTCCAAGCGCTACTCTACTTCTGCCCCGGGCACTTACCCTCTCGGGAGCGCTTGCTGCTTCAGGACTGTAATAATTATGCTTGTCGTCGGCCCGGCCCAGCTCGAGTCACAATGCGCACTGCAGTCCGGCCCGCTACACTCCACTGGGTGCACGGACCGCAGTGCAGCGAGCGCAACGTTTTTTTCGTAGAAAGCGGGGGACGGAAGAGGAGGTACTACACTTCGGTGAACTGGTGCAGGGGCACGTTCGGACGGTTGAGGTTGGGGTCGGGGGCTAGCACGTTTCCTACGTGCCGTCGGGGCCCGTTACCGCCCGGGCTGCTTAACTGCTGCCTGCCTGACTGGGCCGGGTCGACTGCGGTAAGCAGCACCGTCGTCGTCCCGCACAAACTGTTCGAATCCCGACGAGGTGCGGGACGGAGCCAAACTTGGCGACATGCCGTTTGTCGCGACGGAGGCAACGCCGCGCCATTCCAGTTTGCCGCTTCGGTCGTCGGACTTGGCGGCGTCTGGGCCCGAGGGCTTCCCGTCCGCGTTTCGCAACCACCGGCGTCACTATGCGGTCCGACCGGACGGACGGAGGGCGATCTCACCCGGTGATCGCGGGAGGCAGTTCAAAGGCGGCCCGGTAAAACTTCCCAGCCCAATGGAGTCGTGACGGGGCAGGCTGAATTTACTGTGCACGCCGGAGTTGTGCGGTCGACTGACTTGACTGACCGGCACTGCGATTCGCGCGAGCAAGCAAGCCACTGGCCGCGTCGGCCCGGGCCGGGCCGGGCCGGGGAGACTTTCGAGCGCACGGGAAATTCAAAATTTCGGGCCGACGGGGCGCCCAGACAGAAGCGAAAATGGGCCATCTGTGCGTTTCGTTCGTCGGACCGGGGGGCTTCTCCGGTCCGGAAGCACCAGCACCAGCACCCGCCAGCAGGAGAGGCAGGAGAAGCAGGAGGAGCGTTTCCCTTTTCCTTTTCCATCCTTTGGGTTTGGGTTTGGGTTTGGGCTTGGGCTTGGGCTTGGCATGGCCTGGTCTGGTCTGGTCTGGTCTGGTCTGTGCCCTGGCCTGGGCTAGCCTGGCTTTGCTTGCCTTCCCCCTCCCCCTGCCCTCCCCCTGGGCTGGGCTGGGCTTGGGCTTGTGCCTTCCCTCGGATCGCATCGCGTTGCGTTGCGTTGGCCTGCTTGCCCCCCAGCAAGCACCTTCACCTTCACCCGGGCTCTCGCTCTGCTGCTTCTTCTTCTCTTCCGGTTCTTCGATCCATTCGCCGCTTTGAGCTCTTCTTCTTCTCCTCTTCCTCCTCTACCTGATGAGTGAAAGACAGAGGAAGCAAGAGCGCAGGCAAGGCCGAGCGGCGAGCGACGAAGACGAGCATCGGCATCTGGTTCTCGTCGTCGCAGGAGCGAGCAAGCTGTGCAGCACAGGAACGGGCGGCCGCGGAGCACGAAGGAAAGCAGGCAGGCAAGGTAGAGACGACGAAGAAGAAAGAAGAAGAAAGAAAGAAGGGAAAACCCCGCAGGGAAGAAGGAAGAAAGGGCCGGGACTGGGAGGGAGGGCAAGGGAAGGGATTCATTGTGTATGTGGTCGTGGACGCGCCTAGTCCTTGTAGCATAGCCGCAACAGGGTCGGTCTTGGATGATGATGATGATGAAGGACGGGGCCCGGACGAGTGTAGAGGTTTGAATACGATGATGATATAGATTGATTGATTCTAATTCGCACTTTCGTGCAATCTGGATGAGGCAGAGTGGCGACACGCCGGCGCAAGGCTTGTCATGGTCTCTAGGTTTGAATCCCATCGTCATCGAAACCGGGTTGTAGTCGAGAGCGAGGGGTTGCGTGTTGAGTGGTTTGCATTTTGTGTGTGGTAGGGTTACGGGGAATTTGTGGAAATAACCAATTTTGCCAGAGCTATCGTTTCCGACTAGATATGACTGTTTCTTATCGATGAACAAGATGGACCTAAGCGATCCCCAAGCGATTCAGAAAGTTTTTAGGAAGTTGTAGGGGGATCGGGGAAAAATTTGGGGGTTTTGGAGCGGCGAATGGGTGTGCCACTGCTAGAGGCACTTCGCGACTGGTGTCGCTGTCGCTGGACAGGGTTGAGCTCGGTGTGTTGGCAGGGAGACGACATCTTGCTCGAAGGACCAGTGGACCACGGATCTGACAAGGATTACAGAGATAGATCGCCTGTGATTCTGCTCCGTGCGCCTAAGCAGATTGATAGCGATATTCTTGATACACCTGTGAACCTTATCCGTTTCATAGCAGAGAAGCAGCAACGCATTATGCAAACGCCTGAAACTACTCGCAAAGTGAGTCGCGAGAAGTTTCACCTCGCAAGAGATGCCAAATGTGTCGAGTTTGTGACCATATTTCGTAATCCCAGGTTTCCAAGGCCGGACATGTGCATTCTGTCTGCTCCCCGGGAGCTGTTGCCTGCCACGAGGCCCGGCCGAGCTCTTTGCGTCTCGGCCGGGCCCTCGTGCCGCAGGTGTGCCGGCAGCCCACGGAACGCTCGCTTGCGACCGCGTCCTCCGCCCTGCCGAGCAGCGCAGCCCTTCCTTTTGTTCACATTACATTCCCGACTCTCTTCCTCATCATTATTCCGCCCCCCCGCCCCCCGGAGGCAAATCGAGTCCCATGGGACCTGCGATTCTTGCCGTTGAACAGTCTCATGCACCGCGTTCTTGGTCCTGTCGAGTGCTCCCGTCTCCCTGGCGATCATCCGACCACCGGCTCCCTCGCCACGCCCTACCTCGCCGACCGTGAAATTTTCCTCACCACGGAATGATCTCATCCCTCACACGCTGCTCTGCGTTTTCCCGTCGCGCCTCGCACCCAGGCAGGCCCGATTTCGGGCACTAGGACTCCGATGCGTGTGTCAGAGCGAGTAGTCGAGTGTGTTGGGGTTGTCAATTCCTGAATTTGGGTCTGCACGCGCACCGCCTCGATCCGACGCTCAGAGCAGTGATTTTTCGGGTTAGAGAGCAATGCGCTTGATTTCTGTCGGTGCACCGCTGACTGGCCCTCTTTGCACGTTGTCTACAGAACATGGTGGAGACCGAGTTCTTCACCGAGTATGGTGAAGCAAATCGGTATCAAATCCAAGAAGTAATAGGGAAAGGGAGCTATGGGGTGGTCTGCTCAGCGATTGACACACATACCGGAGAAAAAGTTGCCATCAAGAAGATCAATGACATTTTCGAGCATGTGTCAGATGCCACTCGCATCTTGCGGGAGATCAAACTCTTGAGGCTTCTGCGCCATCCCGACATTGTTGAGGTCAAGCACATCATGGTGCCTCCGTCCCGCCGGGAGTTCAAAGATATTTATGTGGTGTTTGAACTGATGGAGTCCGATCTTCATCAGGTCATCAAAGCCAATGATGACTTGACTCGAGAGCACTATCAGTTCTTTTTATATCAGCTTCTTCGTGCTCTGAAGTACATTCACACAGGTGCCTATGGCTTCTTCCTTTCTACATCCACCAGCTTTTGTAGGTCGTCGGTCTTTCCCTGGATCACTTCGATCGGGTGAACCCGATGATATACATGTTATTAGTCTATGTGCATTTTCTGTCGCTAACTTCTCACACGCCTCCACGCCGGAGGTGAGGTCCTGTGGGGTTTGCCCAGCTGTTTTCGCGTGGATGGGTGCCCTGGAACTTGAGCTCTGATTCAACGAGCAAGACCAGCTGTGCCATTGCTACGGTGACATCTCGTCTGACATGGTTGAATGCTGGACATGCAGCGAATGTATATCATCGGGACTTGAAGCCAAAGAACGTTCTTGCCAACGCAGATTGCAAGCTGAAAATATGTGATTTTGGTCTTGCTCGCGTCGCCTTCAACGACGCGCCAACAACCATATTCTGGACGGTGGGCCCTTTCTCCTCTCGGATCATCATTCTTGCTCCAGTTTTTCCCAGTTATGACGTCATTCCGTCACTGGAAGTTTGATACGAAGGCGGGTTTCAGCCCGCACGCATCGTATGATAATCATGAAAATCTGCAACTAAAAGGTTCCGGTTTTATTTCCTTGCAGGATTATGTAGCCACCAGGTGGTATCGAGCCCCTGAACTTTGTGGGTCCTTTTTCGCCAAGGTATGTTTGTCTTGTGGACGGCAGTCTCTTTCTCTCTCTGGCCGCTATATTCGTTTGATTCAGTCCTTGTTCTTTACCCAGTCTATATATTTCGAAATCCGTGCTCCTTTCAACCTCTTGTTGTGCTTTCCTTGCGGTGACGTGTGTCCACAATCTACACGCCCGGATTCTACTTAGTGCCAGTTATTCACGAGTACATACTCAGTCTATGGGGGTCTCTCAGGAAGTTCACAAGGTGGGAACTTTGCCAAGTCTGATAGAGGACACAGGAGATACAATTGGACATTTACTGGAGTATACGTCGCCGCAATTAAATAGAGCATTCGCTTTGAATCTTAAAGTGAAGATCCTGTACATGACGAGGAGAAATATGGGCGATGAGAATACGACTGCTCGTTCCACGGATCAGACCTTGCTGGAATGGGAATTCAACTTGTCAATTTTACCTCGATTGGTCTTAGAAGTCCTTTCTGGACTTTAGCTGGACTTTTCAGACACCCGTCAATCCTCTGAACGTCGAGAGCGATTTTTCGTCGGAACCAGGTTTACAACTTATTCTAGGAGCAAGAATTGATGAAGGGATTCTTCAATGCGGCAGTAATAGCTCATCAGCTGCCCGGAGTAGTTTGAGCTGTATCTTGTCGGGTCCAAGGCGCTCTGGGCATTATGACTGGGTTAGGGGGCTGTTGGCTAAGCGAAGGAGCATGTCGAAGCTGCCGATAGATTATCGCTGGAAGTTTTGTGCACTGTGGACTTGTGAAGAACTGGAATACAAGCCCGAGTATCCTTTAGCAGTCAAGATGCTTACACATTCTTTCCCAAGAGTGGAACATCGGCAAGGATTCTGGATCTTATTAGGGGATCATCTCATTCGCCGAAGGCCTACTTGAATGGCTTACCTTCATGTTTTATGTCGTGTATCGCTAGATTTGGAACGCTCTCCTGATTGAATATATATCTTTTTCGTGTGCACAGTATACTCCCGCAATTGATATCTGGAGCATAGGGTGTATATTCGCGGAAGTACTGACTGGAAGGCCGCTTTTTCCGGGAAAGAACGTCGTTCACCAGCTCGATCTCATGACAGACATGTTGGGCAGTCCTTCACCCGAGGCAGTACAACGGGTCTGTACTTTTATCTTTTTTTACTCTAAAAGTCCGGGTCCTCAAAAACTGCTACGAACGCTGAGCGAGAGATCTTTCTTCGAATTGTTCATAGGAAGTCTTGTTCTTATGTGGGCATATGGTATGTCGTCACATCATTATATCGTGACGGCGATATGATCTTCTGAGAGGAAAATAATAATTTGCGGACCTTGATAAGGTAGGTCTGTGACAAATTGCACCTGTTCTTTCATTCACCCATTGCAGTGTCTGATGCAGGTTCGTAATGAAAAGGCCAAAAGGTATCTGACAAGTATGAGGAAGAAACAACCACTCCCATTCTCGCAGAAATTCCCAAATGCAGACCCTCTAGCTATTCGCTTGCTGGAAAGGATGCTCGCCTTTGACCCCAGAGATAGGCCTACAGCTGAGCAAGTAAGATAAGCCCTTTTTTTTGTTCGAAATCTGGATCACTCTAAAAAACTAAGAAAAGGCAATGTGTACGAGTTTCGTCCTTGCACATTGGGGAATTTGTGAAGAAAATGCATTCTATGTTTATTCACATGCATGCTACACTTGCAGGCTCTAGCTGATCCATATTTCAAGGGACTTGCGAAAGTGGAGCGAGAGCCATCTGCACAGCCTATTACAAAGATGGAGTTCGAGTTTGAAAGAAGACGAATCAACAAGGATGATGTGAGGGAACTCATATACAGAGAGGCAAGCATCTCAACACCGAGTTTCCTCATTAGTTTTCAATTTTAGTTGTTTGAAGTACTTGTCTTTATCCAGTAGGATTGATAGCTGTAACTTCCACAACTACAATATTGCATTTGTTGGTTTTCTTACTTGGTTGCGGTCAACTCCATAACTTAGCCCTCCAAAAGTGTGATATGTGATTTTAGGGTGTAGATTGCATAGAGATTATGGGCATGAGTGTAAGTCAGCTGGTGGAGCTGAATCATAATCAACGTCTACGACCTAAATTGGAACCCACTTGTTTTCTTGGCCGTGAAGCTTGAATCAATATAGTTGTACAAGTTGTTTCCGTTTTTTGTCATCTGAGTTTGAAGAACTTAACTGAACATCGCTTCCCATGATACTTGTACGATTTTCTTGAGAAATAATTTTTTATGGCTTGGCCATTTCAACATTCTTGGCTAGACGACGATTCCAGACAGCGATGAGATGTGAAAATAAGGGACTGCGAGAGTATAGAGAGATAGGGGAAGGCAAGAAACACATCAGGAGAGTGATTCTTTTCACAAGATTGTGATTAATGACAGATTAGTCAAGAGAGGAAACAAGGTAATAATAGAAACGAGGGAGGAGGAAATATCTTAATGGATGAAGATTTCGTCAGTAGTTTGAGCCGTATGCAAATAGGATTCCGACATGAAAAAATTGTGGCCTATCTAGCTCTACGTGCTCAAGGTTTATGAGTGCTAACCGCCACACAAATCAAGATATCTGTGTTTTCCTCCTGTAGTACACATACCGCATGTGGTGCTCAAGGTTTATGAGTGCTAACCGCCACACAAATCAAGATATCTGTGTTTTCCTCCTGTAGTACACATACCGCATGTGGTTCTTAATTTATATTTACTTTTTCGACGTTATAATAGATAGTCACTAGTGCAGTTAATACCATTGGTTTGTGGTCTGTGCACTAGCTATTTGCCCATCTTCAACTAAGTTCTCTGTTCACGCCTGGTAAACAGGCGTGAAATATAATACTGATGCCTTTACATTCTGCTCATATGGCATCCCTTTATAAGTTCTTCGTCCCTGCGATGGCTTTGATGAATCGTTTTGAGGTCGAGTTTTAGGTTTAGGGTTACTGAGGAAAGATATGAACTCGACTGACGACCGACGGTCAGTCAAGAATCGAGGGACTGTGATTGACGACTGACGGAATAAACCGTGGGGTCAGTCCGCAGTCAGTCAAGAATCGAGGGACCGTAACTGACGACTGACAGGAGACATTGTCAATGAAATAAAATGCCGATTCGTAGTGCCAGAGCTGTTCTGGCATGTCAGCTCCGAGGTCATGCATGCTCATCAATTCGATGGACATGCAGAACTGCCTATCAGGATATGGACATCGTAGAGAAGGATCTTGGCGTGGTTCTTGTCTGTCGGTTTACAATTAGTACATGCTTTTCATAGCTCATCATGGAATCGCTATCTTGAGTTCACTTAAACTTTATCTCTGAGGAAGTCTTTTCCTTTCTCATTCGTTGCCCACTGTAGGTCTGCAGGTCTTAAGGTGAATTGGCATCTGTTACCATTTCACAGGCCGTAGATATTTACTTGGCTAAAGCACGATTAAACTGCCATGGCTGCATCCGCTGAATCTCTTGGATTTGAAATACTATACCCAGCATTGTAGGGTTATCTCGTCCGTTCTGGTGTTTTTTATGGGGTTATCTCGTCAGAATCTCTTATTCTTTTTGTAAGTTCTTCCCGGTTGCGGATCTAAGCCCCACCCATTTAGCCAAGACTAGCGTAAACCCGGGACCTAAGGTCATACTGAAGCACTTAGTCAGTGACAGCTCTGACAGCAGATGAGTGAACACCATGGGCAATATTTCTTGACATGATGATCCTGCATGATCTGGACGTTCTGTAGTCCTAATTAGTCCCTGCTGCTTTCTTTATAAGATTCATCGGTCGGTAATACGTGGTTGATTATTATGGTTGATTGGTTTCTTCGTATATTCACTTCATCCATTTTCAATCTGTTTGACTTTTCCTACGTTGTTGTTGTCTACCTTTTTTGGACTATTTCTTAGATATCTTGGCATGGTCCCAACTTTTTTCATCTTAGGGTTTTGCTATCACAAAGGAGGTTGTGGTTCAAGGCCAAATTCTTCAGAGGTAGGTTAGTCTTCATCTTTCATTCTTATATATGTTCTCTTTCTGGAGTACCAACTCTCCATGTTGTGCTTTTTGTAGATTCTCGAATACCATCCACAAATGTTGAAAGAGTACTTGAATGGAACGGACCACGCGAACTTCATGTATCCAAGGTTCACCACTATCTCTCTTTTAATCTGCCACAGTTCGCACTTTGCAGGCACTCAAGTTAGCTCGCTGTGCTATCCATGTTGAAATGAGAGTGTTTGTCTTTTCTTCTACGTTCCACCTGGAGCTGACATTTTGCAATTACAGACTGGCATTCTACAGAGGCTTGAATATTCCCATCAATATGCTCAAGCCATTTTCTCAAAACTTCGTCGATGTCGTGGGTTCTTTTTGTTTGAACGTAATAACAACCTTTTAAAGCTTATTTCTAGAGGTGCTATTGGCCCATCTCGACTTTTGTGGTTCCAGTGTTTCGTGTAGTTTCTTCTCCGCCAGTGAGATCCTTTGGAGAATGAGGGCTGTGCCCGGTTGTACAACGGTAGAAAGAACAATAGAAGCAGATTTTGTAATTCTTAGCATACGCCTCCGCACTCACTTACTTGAACACGTTGAACATGTATTTAACAGCGCTGTTGACCAATTCAAGCGGCAGTTCGCTCATCTAGAGGAGCATTATCAGAAGAATGGCAACAATTCTGTGCCCCAAGCCCTGGAGCGGCAACACGCCTCTTTACCCAGGTATGTTCGTCTCCCACGATTGGGACACCTGTGAGCTAACGATTTTATGTTTGCAAGTCAGTCGTCACATTATCACATGCTACAGTAACGGCGAATCAAGCTACTGCCGTACATCTATCCACTCTTGACTGGTAAAAAGGATCGAAAGAGGAACGCATGATCATGAATTTTGCTGGCAATCTGATGAACGAAATTGTGACAGGCCTTGTTTGCTATACACAAATCCTGTTCCCCCTGAGCAAGCAGCTCCATGCTCTGGCAGGGAACGAGTGCTAGAGTTTCGAGAGGAGGCGGCCAAGTATGCTCGGGAGACCGAGAAGCCCGCACCTGAAAGAGGCATTGCTAGTTTAACGAAGGGACAAGGGCATTCTACACAAAAAGGATCCCACGGTAAGGGTCTAACTGTACTGGTCATCTTAAGTTGACGACGTTGATTGCTTTACTCCTTTATTTGTATATTCTTTGACTGGAAAATTCTTGTAAGGTTCAAAGAACGTAAGGAGGCTGGGTGTTTCATGTTTGTCGCTCTGGCTGAGCTCAATTGCACCGGTCTTTATAATTTTACATGTAGTCCTGTTCCGTAGAAACCTTTTATTCTGGAGATCGAAATCAACTACGTGATCTCGGTGGTGTGTATATACAAAAGTGAAATGATTACAGATGTTTGCTTTCAGTACTGACTCAGTCATGACACGTCTTGGGGTCATTCTCCAGGCTGCTTGTGGTAATTTAGACAAGCACTCGTATCATTCGCACCCAAAGTTTATATTCTTGAATGGTCACAGAGAAGAGGTATATTAGACGTACAGGGCTAAGTTAGGTTCATGTGCGTCGCTCGATGGTGACAGTGTTTTGTCCATTTTTCTCAGGAGGACCTGCAAAGCCTGGCAAAGTTGTCGGTTCAGGGGTATCAGTGGGGAATGGGGGTGGATCCGCCGGCACCAAAGAACCGGCTGATGGCCGGAGACTTGTCAAGTGCTCGAGTGTGAGCGGGTCGCAGTATCCCTCGTCCCTTTATTCATACGGAAGGCGCAACAATTCAGGCTCGAAGGGTGATAGGGATGACAAAAAAGATGACTCCAATGAACTCTCTTCTGTACAGTCGAGGACTGAATCTATGGGTATCGGGGCTCGGAAAGTATCAGCACAGGTTGGCGTGGCGAGGACATGATCTGTAACAAACTTCCATTCTTTCACAAGGTAACCAGTCTGACCTTGACACGAGAGACTGAAAAAAGAAGTTTACTCTGTCACGGCTCTTGGTGCAGACTGCTAGAGGCGGCGCTTACACACTGCAAAAGTGAGTTTTTAGGTAGTGTCTACCTTCGGAACCAGATGTATAAACTACTCTGGAACCTTTGGGTCAGCAGCAAAACACGTCAATGGGATTGTTCTCTCATTTGTATGATGGATTGCCCCCCCAAAAAACCCGGGGGAGTGGGGGAAGAAAAGCCGGGTAGGTCACGGACTACAAAATTTAAAGGTAGTTTAGTTAGTCTAGGTTAATTCTCCAATCCCTCCCCTCTGTAATTCGTTGATCCACAGTATTTGCTCCCTTCACGGTAACTGAAGTATTCTATAATTCAAAGAGTAAGTTGGCCAGTTGCAATGTCTAAGGGTTTGTACATAAAAGAGGAGATCCGGACAAAAGTTGATTTCTCTTCAATCTGTTAACGAGTCCTCGTACTTTTGTTTCTAAGGCAAATTGCCAGATCTTTTCAAAATGTGGTCTTCTATGCCACTTACTCTGTAATGGTTGTGCACGAACAGCGATGTATTTTTTTCAGTCCTTGGTTAACCTTCCCGGAGGCTTGCGGTAGTGGCATCTCAAGTGCGGGTTATGCCTCGGGTTCTGAACCATAATATTTATGATGATCAGTTTTTTCACGATTATCATTATCAACAAACATTTTTTTCTCGTCGTGTGCGGGCTGTTGTCGGCACGTCTTTGCGGTTGGTGCATGGCCTAGTGTTGATTGCTTTCTCCAGTCCATCTCGCGGGTGTCCTCGATGCTGACAGCGGGTCAGGTGGATGCTCCTCCGGCCTCGAGTGTCCCTGTCGAGGTGATGTGATACCCGCGCCCACGTTCGTCCTCCTGGGGCTCTGCCCGAACTGCGAGTTAGCGAGCGCACACATGGGGGGCTTCATACGAAACCCTCGAAGCTCCGTTGTTCTGGTCTCTGTGTGCTTGGAATGCTGATCTCGACGGGTGACATGGTTCTCTACGTGCCAACGCATGGAATGCAGCAAGCAACGCAACCCCGGCTTCCTAGTGTCACGCCCGAAAAGTCTTCCCGACCCACCCACTCGCTTCGCTGTCATGCACAATCGGGTCTGGTATGTGGGCAACTTTCCGGGGCGTCAGGTAGAGTTACTACGTCGGTCACCCATGTCAATGGATGGAAGCTCGATCACAGACAGGCGAGCTCGACCTGGACAGGAGTCCAAGCTCCAGTTCGTACAGTAGTCAGTAATTTGTCACTCGAGTACATGTGCGGCGGAACCACCACCGGAACCTACCCCCATTGACAGCCCCATCGCCGTCTTATCACCATTTAGCCCGTCCTATTACTGTTAATCCCCACAGAACCGAGCGCCGGCGGACGCTGTGTGCCGGCTTCTTTCGGGGTTTGACGCAAGCGGCAAGCCGTAGGATTTTTCTGCGGTGACGAAGTCCGTCGTCATGCGCTCGCCGGCCGTCCGTGTCAGACATGCCGCAGAGGCGGATTTCCACCTTCCGGCCCAGAGTACGGTGGAAGGCGGCTGCTCCAGTGCCGGCCGCAAGGAGGGGTACGCGGTTGAAATACGGCAGGCGGCAGGGAGGCAGGGCGGGACTGTCGGTCGCTGCCCAAGGGTAAGTAAAACTGAAGCTGGCGTGACCAGCGGGAGCTGCGGACGAGTGTCCAGATCCGACGTACGGACGCTGAATCATTGCCCGCTACGCAGTCAGTTGAATATCTGAGAGCTGGTTTGACTTCCCAGTTCCAACCCCGTAATTCGCTTGACTGCTCTGGCGACTGTAAGACTGCTTACACAAAGCTTACTGTGCAGCATAGCGTCTTGCGGACTGCGTCGTACGCTGTACCGTCCGGAGGTCGGAACTTTGGGCAAAGGAAAATCTGGAAACTGTCGGCGTTCTCGCTTCCTTCCCACGCCGTCGCGCGAGATTTTCAGCGCGTCAATCTTATCTGCTTGTACTGGATGGCCTCCAACCAGGTCACGGAAGGGAACCAGTCGGGCCGGGCCTTTTTTAATCTTCGCCGGGAAAAGTCCATGTCTCCAGGACTTCGTCATGCACGGCGCTGCCAAACGAAACGTGCCGGCAAAGCAGAATTACCGGCTTCTGTGTTGAATCTCCCGCCGCTGGATCCAATGACCAAATCCAAACACGACATGCGCTCGACCTTGGCGAACGGCGTCGCACCACGTGGCCTCCCACGCTGAAATCGAGGTGGCGGGAAGTGGTTCCACTGCGCTCGACTGTATCCAACGGGATTCTACCCGGTTCTGCCTTGTCCGGGAATTCATCGTCTGCCCGCCCAGGCTCGGGCCCGGGCGGGCAAAGCTCGAGTTCTCCCGATTGTGAGGAGCCCTTAGTGACGAGTGCTCGGAGATCCCCCGGGTCCTCGATAGATCCTGCATCCCTCTTGAAACCTCTCGCTCCTGCTAAACCCGGGTTCGTCGCGCCACTTGCCACCCGTTACAAGACTGCACACTAAAGTCACCCGGACTGAATGCCTCAGGGTTCAAGTCTACTGCCCGTCATATGCACGACGTAAATCAATACTCTTAACTGGTCAAGGTTGTGAGGAAATTAAATTTTTGTCTCCAAATTTGAATCGCTGATGTGAGTCACAACAAGGCTCGAGAGCAATTGACCCAATTCCAGATGATGAGCCCCTTGTACTCGATAAAAAGATGTTACTTCTCAAAGAGCAATATCAGTAGTCTATCGCTTAAGTAGGCATTATTTTATCAAAAAATCAAGTTTACTTAGTTCAACATATCATGAATTGTAACTTGGCGCAAATTTTGAAGGTTCTTGTGTTTGGCTTTCAAAGTGATAGCCCGAAACTTAATTTGAAACTATTCATATAACTAATGAAGATCATCACATTTTTCTTTAGATTCTTCTCTAACTTTGAAGCAAAACAATTGATACAACATTGAACAAGTTGTTGATATAAATATCAACACCTTGCTTATAAAGTGAATCAACTTCTTTAAATACAACGCTATTTCCTAACCCAAATCTGATTCATCATCATTTCCACCATCCACATTCTCTTTAGCAATCTTCATCGTTTCCAAAAGCTCTTCAACATCTTTCAAAATTGTAGCTACGAATACCGCAATGTTTTAGTAGTCGACATGAATAAATTTTCAAACTCTCATTGTGAAAAAATTTAAGCTACAATAGCTTGTGCCAATTTGCCATTAATTTTTTATTAATTTTAATGTCATTAATTTTAAATTCATTTTTTATGTCAAAATCATTCTTCAAATAAAGATAGTTGAAATTCTTTTCTAGAGCTATGATTATGCTCATATCGTAGGGTTGTTTTCAATTTGTGCCCTTTGAATAAAGAAAATTATCATAACATTGTTCGGTTCAAAAGATTCCAAGTGTATGAGGCATTATCTATCTACATTGTATATACAAATCAATTTTTGGTTTGTTTTTTCATCTGTAGAAAATATACTTCGTAAAACCATCATATTTTTACATACATCAAAGCATTAATTTGATTGAATTATGGAACATGCCATTAATGGACTTCTACAATGGCTTGTATTACCGAGTTAAAATGAGACACAACAATTTACATACTTTTTTTGTTGAGCAATTTTATTTATAAATGGTAAATGGAATAGAATAGATACACATCTGTTATCAATTTTGAACTTAAATTTTGTCACCATAAATCATCACTGATTTTGACAACAAGCATTTGTGAGCTTTTGCACAATTCATCTAGATCTATCTGCATATAACAAAGTTAGACACTACAACAATTTTTGCACCCATGTTATTTTTCATTTCATACCTCCATGTATTATAATGACATGTCTTACACATATGCGTTTGTCAATAAAAAAGTACAAACTTTATGCAAACTTATACTTCATCTCTTAAAATAATGTTGCAAAATACAAAATCATAATTATACCCAATTTTTAAGTTGAAAATGTGCATCCAATAAACAAGTTCCTTCTATATCAATCTTATTATTGCAAAATGTTTCTTTCACATGCTAGGTTATAAGAATATGAAAGTAATAACAAAGTTCTGAAAATAATGATCATATAAATATATCTTGGATAAATGAAGAAGTAAATATGATAGTTAAATTAATTTTCTATTTACTAAAAGTATCATTTCAAAATTGGAAGAAGAAAAGCATGAAGATCATTTCAACAACATGCGATATGTGCTATATTTTGGTCTATTTAACTTTTTTACCTGTGCTATGAATTATATGTGATCATCATACATGTTAATATCATTTGTCAACACAAAAAGCTATGCCTATGCATTTAGGAGAAAAAAAATATGATTTCATGCAAGATCACTCTATTTGACTTAGTCTGTGATTTTTTTTATGTTTTTCACTAAGTTGGAATTTTGCCTAAAAAGCTTTTTCCTCATTGTTTTCATTTTTTTCATCATGAACTTTGAGATAAAATTAGGAAAATATTCATTATCATTGATAACATCTAAAATTAATTAATTATTAATAATAATATCTAGTGTATCATCTAATAACATCTTAGAAAGGTATCTTCAAATCTTGTCAATTTTTAAAAGTTGTAACAAATTCAAATAATAGGTTTTGCTCCTTGTTAGCAAAACTATATACCAAGATGTATATAGCATGTTATTTGTAAACACATCACTATACAAGGAATAAAAATGATAGCATATTTTTTCATCCATTTAACGCAAATTTGTTTAGCGTATTATATTATTTTGTCTGTCAAATGAATCATCGCAATCCTTTTTCTATTCTTTGCACTATGATATTCGTCAACAATTTCTAGACTACTTGGCGTAAAAAAACATGTCAGTTGTTGTTATTGAGTCTATACCCATTGCTAGCTGACATTGTTTTCAAGCTTTTAATTCATGCAATGATCTATTTATGTATCTAGTATGTTTTATGCTATATTATGCGCTATATTATAATCTTATTCTTTTATCTTATTTTATTTGCATCAAAGACTAATTTTCAATACAACTTTTTTTCTTATTTGAAATTCGTCCTAGTATTGTGTTAATTTATATTGATTCAAATTTACATCTTCACAATCTTGCTCAACTTGTAGCTCTTCAACTTGATGCAATAATGAATGAAAAATATAAACTAACAACTTTGAATTGTCTGTAATTCTCAATATTTCATATTGCAAGCAAGTACATGCTCCATATTACTTGAATTATGAACATTTTTTGATGTACTTTGCACATCATATTCTTTCATTGATGTTTACACATGTTTCATTTGTCAACCAACTGATAATCTCATAAAGATAGCATATAATAATAATCTTGAATGATGTATGTTACTTTTGGTTTTAGCCCTATCACCTCAACAGGTTTGATTTTGACGGATATCAAAACATTATTAATGTCATTATTTAAAATCATAAAAAATGGCAACAAACTTTTGACATAAATGAATCCATATTTAAGCACTTTACATTCTATTATTTGCAGATCATACACTAAAGATAGAAAAATCTTATTTTTTCTAATTAATTAGTAATAATACTGCCATTTTACATACGTTATACATAAAAAAAGTCAAAATGATTCCAAAAAACAAGTTGAATAATCTATTCAAA